GATTCTGGCAAAACCTGTACTGTTTTGGAGCGCCAATTATCTTACGTTCCAGGTGCCCTATGAGTTTCTCAGTGATAACGGACTCTCTAACCTTGGAGATCACCGGAACTTGTGTTACCACCCGATATTTCACTGATTCTATATGGCTGCAACTCTAATAAATTGGAGTGATTATCCCTTGCATCCACATTGTGTGAACCTTCATCTCTTTAGGAGATTGTTGGAAGAATCTGGTTAACGGTTTCCTAGGCTCATGGCAGCCACCTACATTGCATTCGGGTGCACCTCGTCAGATCCAAGCCAGCTTTACTCGCGCAAGGACATAAAGCACTTCAGTACATCCGTCAACGGTAGATAATATTTGGTTAAGCCCTGGTGGCTGTATGGTCTGTGCAAGAATGATGTAATATGACGGTATAAATTAGAGGGAAGGGCTGATTTTTGTCCAAGTATGTTGGCCGGCTCTTGTGCCGTTTGCGCTAGCCCAAATGCTGTGTTTAGAGCTGGAGTTCTACTCTTGACTCTACGAACTTTGTTCACATGCACTCAAGTAGCGTAGAGTCTGAACGACATTTTATCACCTGATCCTGTCGGCTCTTTACTCTATACTCCAGGACGAGTTTGACGCAGTGGTTCCTTTGTGTTTCATAGATGGCCCATGTGTCCTAGCTCGGAGGGACTGTGTGCGCTCCAGGCTGATTCCCTCAAGGCCATGCGTTTCCGAATCCTGCTCCATAGGATGGGCATCATCTTTTCGATTGCTGGATTTTAGTTTCTGATGTGTTTGCCACTTGCCAGTTGAACCGGTTGATAAATTTCCCCAATGCCGCCTCAGGGAGCCGTTCGTTTAGGCTGCTCATCTGGTTACGCCATTGAGGCCAAATAGATTAACATAACTGGTTCCGATGTGAGAATCTTCAGTGCTCCCTTAAAGATATTATGCATAGCACATGTGGCAGAACAATAGTGTCATATGGTCAATGCTGCCCAAAGGAGTGCTCGTTTTTTCTACGTTGATCCTGAGTTTGTCGATGGTGAACACGAGGTCCGAGATGGTCTGTTTGTTTCTGTTTTTCCTGTTTCTGTTTGTCTCCTGTTCTGACACACCTTGCCATAGTTGCACAGTGGTGAATCTGCGAATAGCTCCTGGAGATTAGACTTGAAATGCTCCCGAGTGTGGCCGGGGTTTCTAGGGCGTGCAGGTTAAAGTCCCCTACCAGGAGAACTTGGCTGTAAGACCGGGCCATTAGGTTCTTCATAGTGAAACTAGCGAGTGGTCCATTTCTAAAGTGGGCATAGGGGGCGGTGTACAATAACTACAAAGCATAGATGTAGACGGCACCGTGACGAGTCGACTGCTTGGACCCCTGGGTCATTAACGTGGTCGGCGTATAAGTCAAAACGGTAGTAAAGAATTTAACTGCGTCCCTTGATGAGTCAGTCGTTGCGCAATGCAATGCAAAATTACACTATGCAATCTCATTTCAGCCATAGTTAATGTTAAAAGTTAAATATAATCGCGGAAAAATAGAGGCCGGCTTATTTTTTGTGCTTTCGAAACGATAGAGAATAGGCGGAATTCATGGTTATACTGGGGCTTATCGCACCTAGATACTACAACTTAATGCTTATACTGACACCCGTGCTAAATGGACGCACATTCGGCAAAGGGAAATTGCGCACATATGAACTGTGCGATAGATTTGGCTGAGTCCCTATTTAGCGGGATTACGGGCGGTCCACAACCTGACTCTGTAGTTGTTTGCGTTTTCACCTATCATCCTTTGCACTTGCCACCTAGGGAGTTACCAATTCAAAGAAGCAAGACATGGCAGTGGGTATGTTGTTTTGATTAGAAAAAGCAGTTATATCGCCAGCTTTTTACAAGCATACATCTACAGCTTAAAAATTTCCTACTCGCATGCCAATGAAAAGGTGGGCAACTAATCGGTGCCAGTAGCAAAATGTGATATCCCTTTCATCGTATAACTGGCAATCATTTAATACATCTTTGGTCAATCTTTTGTCTGCTGAGCTTGATGAATTTCACTGTTTCCTCACAAAGTTGTATCAAGAAACAAACCATCATACCAAACAAAGCCTTTGCTAATTAAAATGTAAATGGGATTTTTCACATAGATGTTTTTCCCTTGGAGCCATGGGGCTAACTCGTTTATTTACGAAGTATCTGTTTTGCAACTTCAACATGGCATGCATTCCGCAAGATTTTACCAGCAAGATAAGGTTTAGCGTGTCAAATTCCACCAAAACTTATCCACAGTTATGAAGGATGGATAAGGACCAGTCGAAACGTAGTTGATTGCTCTAGTGCAACTCAACAGGAAACACTACGAATTCAAGTGAATGAGCATACATTAACATCTGTCAGTCAGTTTTCTTAAATATCGCTACAAAGGCAGTCGTAGAACTCATTATTGAGCGATTAGAGTGTACATCAAAGCTTTTTGCTAGTTACCAACTTTATTAGCATAACGCTAATATAAAATTTTCTTAATGCAAATTTCTGATGCGTTCGTGTTAAATAAAATGGGTTGTCTGTTACAGATCCATGATAATGCTCAATATCTGCAACTGTGTGTGTGTGTGTGTGGCTGTCCCACCACATTGAAAAGGGTGTTCCAAGTCGGTTCTCCATTGGGGTTTAACGAGGTACACTGTACAGGGGAATACACCGCATCGAGTCATTTGCCTGGGGCACAAGTTTTCATGTTCACTGCGAAACGTTTATTCGACTTATACTCAAACGGTGTGTTTTTATTTCGGTATGAGGCGACGAGTGAGCAATATTTGATTCAGCAGCCTTTACTTCTTTCGCAACTCGATCCACAGAACTGGGGCGTTGTACCAAGAGGGAAGCAGTTACAAATGCATGGAAGCCATTTGCTAAATAATTGGAGTAAAAAGCTGTCGTAAATGCAACTGCAATTATAAAGCAAGAAAAATGTGTACATCTTTCACTGGACTGGAATGTGCATCTTTTAGGCGGACTACAAAATGAGGAGTGCGCTCATAATCGCCTGTATTCCTTTTCCCCGTGTCATTTTGGCCATTGAATATATATCTAGACAGTGGGTTTGTAGGCAACAAAAAGTGGTGTTATAGTGAGTAAAACGCGACCAAACACCATCCGCATGCTAAGTAGAAAGGGTGCAGCCTTAAGTGGGAAAGCTGAGCTGCTATTTTAATTTCTTTCGGACTCTGATCGAACTCCTCAGAACATGTGTAATGATATAAAACTAATAATATAGTCCTTGCTTGAATAAAAGTGAATGCTAGAACCTTCCTACTGGTTTCTTAGAAATTTCGATCCGAAATACGATGACAAATCAGAGATTAACCAAAAGTATATTAATACACATATAATCACTCCAAACCGTGGTACTGGGAAATAACGTATTCTAGGCAGTTCTATTTGGATCTTATCAAACTTTACCTTCACATGGAATATGTAATATGCGGACTGGCTGTTCTGACACAACCAGACATACGACACTGATTCGAAATTGCAACTTCCATGAAACAATACCACTACGGAGGTTTATGTGCCAAGACTCTGTCTACTACTCGACATAACTAATAAGAAAATGTGACCTATTTCGCTCATATTTTCTAACTACCCCCACTTTCAGCTGACAATGATATTGTCTGACGGGAGTAACTACAATGCGGCTCATTCGACATAAACACCTACTCCCACACACTTGGTGCAAACGGATTCACGTTTGAGAACAGCCGAATATAGCGGCCTTTCCTTTAAGCGGGCTTGAACACATGGTAGACGCAAACCTCTGTGCTTTCTGTTACTCGCTCACAACTGGGTGACAAAAAATTAGTCAGTGGATAATTTGTGTCAACCTACCGACTCATAGGGTCAGTTCACTGACAATTTTAAACTATATGAACGTCTTAGAATTACACTGTCCGTCCATAAACGCTGTAAATTTCACTGAACAGCAAACTCACGGTTCCAGAGTATAACTTTTTGGTTCACCTTGTTCTTAAACGCATTGGCAAATCCGTACCTTAGATTACTGTTGGTCTCTGCTTCTTAAAAGCTTACGGCTTCAACCCTTTTGGAGTAGGCAGGGATATTTCCAACCCTAAACCCTCCAGCAGGTGCTGTTACATAATTGCAACTTGTACGGCAGTCAACAAATTCGACCACACACAACATTGCAGCAAAAACGTAAGACATTTATAACGTTGGATTGTCCACTGGCTAGGTAGCTTATCTGCGGACGTTTAGCTACTAGACTACTCAAGAACCTTAGTGCGGTATTTAGCATCACAGTTTCTCCTAACCTTACCAACTGGTGCTATTCCTCAGAGCAAATATGTGAGGAGAAACTGTCAATAAGTGGGTGGAATTAAGTTGTCGATTCCGTTTTATGTCGCAAACATGCAGGAAAACATCCACATTTCACGCCATAATATGAGCCTGTGTATTCAGAGACCTACTCTTTAGCTATTTATCACTATGAACCTCCAAGCCTAGCAACCTGCTTATGAAATTATCCACATATCCTTTATTCAGTGGAGATATTAAGGGATGCCAATAATCACCTCCACTTGGATCAAATTAAAAAAGTTCAAAGATATGTCTTTCTGGCATCTCCGTAGCAGTGGAACTGCTGCACTCTAGCCCCTAATGGTAACGGTAAAATTTCTGCAGTACCGTCTGTTATAGCAAAGGGATGATTCATGGAACGCCCTGCCTAATTCCGTGGTTTCCACTCCTACAATATTCATGTTCCAGAAACGACTTGACCCTGCGCTGACCCACTTAAACTAGGAAATATCACCGAGTGACGACACAGCGTAACTAAAGTTGCACACACCAGTATTCCCGTGCACAATCAAGATTGACTCGATATACTTACCTCTGGATGGAATAAACTTTTCATTTCCGACAGAACGTCCGGTCGCAACTGTTTAGTTGAGCACATGTTCTCTTTTAACTCTATCGCTTCTTGATCTAGCTTCAGATTCCGATTCCATCGTCGCAACCGTACCTGCAGCAAATATCAATGCCCATCAAGAAACAGAGTTGCTATCGGTGAAGAAAGGATTTGAGGATGTTGAGCGCCCTGTTGTTAATTCGGATGTCGTCTTGATTGACACGATGAAAGGAAATTCCACATACAAGCTCACTATGAACTTGGTCAAGGTTAGTTCCAATGTGTGTTTTCATAGACCACCCGTGGAACTGAATAGTTATGTAGCCCCTTGTGCTCGTCCAGGAGTTAAAGTGGGCGCTCTTTAGGTTCACCTTATAACTGAACACAAATGATTTGCGTCAGACAAGGAATAAAATCACACAGCTCGTACAATACACACCGTTCACTGTTCTGTCCTACTTGTAAGTGGTGATCCCACCTAAGTCACTGTTAACAAAGGTAACCAGTTCAACAATGAAAATAAAATTTAAACGAAATACTCATCAAAGACTGACTCATGCGACGATTAGGCCGTCGGGTGAACTGCCCACCGATCAGATATCGAGTGTAGCAGAACTGATGACTCCCAGACTGGCATCATGATTCTTGGCTTTAGTCACCAAACTCGGTTGACACGAATGTGATCCACCCTTATGGTCAGCTTTTTCTTCATTTAACGCAGTTTTGTATTTCCGATCAGATTCGCTCCTGATCAACAATACACCAAGGCAGTATACCACCATAGGTAGGCTAGGAAACTTACCTTTTCTGTTGTACTGGTCGCCGATCAATAACGGATCAAGTTCTTCGGTAGACTATATTGTCAAACCGTAACTAGCTGGTAAAGTTTCCTCAACGCTTTCTTCTGGCCGCCGTTACTAGCCAACTTAATTGCTTAATTACATCCATGTACAAAAAGTGAAGACTTGTCAGCTGGGCATCAAATAACGGATTGGCACATGTTTCATGCAGTTTTGCGAAATCGAAAATAAATCTGGCATTGCCTTGGAGACAGACGCAAGCATGTAGTAATCGTAACCTGAGGCAATTTCTGAGTTAACTGTGTTATTGGGATTCACTTCTAAAATTTGCTTGGGTCGGGTTTGACTTTGCGTGGGTACAAACAGGAGAATGTAATTTGGGTAAACAAGTAGAAATGCATTAGGTGATTAATGTTTCAAATCCCTCTCCAGTAACATAGGTTATTTTGAGCTAGTGTCCTGCTTACCTGAAGCACCAGATTACTGAATTGAAATTGGGTCAACGCGGATTTTATCCGACAAAAGTTTTATGACTAGCGCATTATGTATGGCGGAGACAACGCAGCTAGAAAACAGAAAACTGATTGTTTGTTTGAATACAATGCATACACTGTGCCATCTCCTTCCGAACAGCGATGGATACCTAACTCAGCCGCCGCTTTCGCTGTCCATAATTTGATATCGTCTTGTGCAATGATTTGAGCTGTTGAAACAGACCATGTGAGCCTTTATATGTAAGCAGTCATTCAAACTGGGCTCTCATTGTATTGCTTCACCCATTTAAATGTTTCATCTGGCCTCTGTGGCGAGTTAATCGAGCTTAACGGGAACAAGCTAATCATGCAGTGTTCACAACGCACTTCGTGGAGCGCTGTCGTGACTTGTTTACCGCTTATACCATAATTCATTTAGATTGCACAGAACTAGATATTTCCTGATTTTGAAGCATAAATAGAGCATTCATTTTCCCCGTATCTATAAACGGCACTTTCTTTTGCGTATTGCGGTTTGCTCTTGTCGCCATGACAACGGAGGAATGTATGGGTCTTGACTTACCAGCGCAGTCACCATAGCTACTGAGAAACGAAGATCACTTTTACCATCCGCTTTTCGAAACCGGACACCAGTTTATCCCACGTGCCACTCTGAAGTTCAATTCGGCAGTCCAACTGTACTTTCTATCTTTCACTTCCGTTCACAAAACTATTGTGTCACGAGGTTTGTTACTGAGAGTCCGGTGCATTCATCAATTCCTCATGGAGCATGTGTTAGTAGCATTTCAAATCCTACCTTCATATTGATATTCGCATAATGGGTACCAAGCAATGTTTACTCGATTCGCTGCTTCCTTCGCTTTATTTGAAATGATTAAGGAACTTAGCTGCCTTTCATGTGTGACCCGTATAATCTGGATCTACACAGCATGTGCAGTATTTCTGGGGATTTATACCACTGATATTTTGTGACTTCATAACTAATCATAAAACATTCATGATGTCGTCAATTCTCGAGTGCAGGCCGTCTGTCCACATCATTCTGGACCTCTTTCTTTATGTAACTCAGGCGTCACTGGTTATTTAGCGTTGTCATGACAAATGGCTCATTTATTGATCACATGAGGTAGACATGCAGCCACTGGTTATCTGCTTGTCTTTAGTTAACAGAATAGATAACCACAGAATACCTGTTTTGATGATAATTTTATGTTTCATTTGCGTTCACTAAAACTAACCTCACCTTCGCCGCCGTAACTTTTGTACATGTTGCAACCTAAACGTCGTAGAATCGTTCACATCATTACTCATTGATGTCACTCACTCCTGGTAATCCTTTTAACAGATGCTTTCTTCTGCTTCCGGACCACGTTAAATTCATTACTATCATCAAGACAGCTTACGAAAATTGGCCAAACTTGGAGCCAGGATTAGCACCGAGTATTGAGGAACTTGACCTAACATTTATTATGAATTATGCCAGCCCGTAGTTAAAAGGATCACGAGCCCATCTTGTAACCCGAATTCGCGAGTTCGAGCCTGTGTACTGGACCAGATGACCTTCGCATTATCCTTAGCCCACGCGTGACTGTTGGTGGTTGCGAGGAAGCGAAGCGTCGGTACTGCGTACTGGCGTACTGCTGTAACGTCTATCGCAGGGGTGTCCAAACTTTTTGCAAGGAGGGTCACATTTTGTGAGGTAAAAATATGTCGCGCTATATTCAGTCTGACATTAAGATGTTAACAAAAATTACATACGTACAAAAAAAATCCAAGCCTGAATTTATTAGTTCTTGATGAGGCCGCGGGCCAGCTGAAATTTTAACGCGGGCCGTATTGGACTTCCGACATCCCTGGTCTACTGTGAATGATGACCTAATATTTCACTCAACTATCCACACGCTTACTGCAATTGTGGCGGAAATTTTAGGCTAACATTGCACAATTCTCGCTTGATTTGTTAACTTATCGGGTTCAATGATGCGTTATTCTGAGTTGTATTCCTATCCCAGAAATGTTAACACTTATTCTAGGTCACCATAACAGCTCCTCGAAGGCAATATGTGCGATATTGAGTTTTATTGTCTAAAATGTTTAGTGACAGTTTTAAGGCGCTGGAGCCATCAACCAATTTGGAAACGTACGTTAGGTGCTAAGTTTCCTACCACCTGTATTTCCAGCTGTGGAACTTAATTTTTGATGTTCCGCTTATCACTGTGTCACTTAGTGCGTATTGTTGGATAGTTTATTAGCGAATATTGTGTCTTGAAAAGACCGAATGCAGCTGTCACTACATGATTACTCAGTTTTTCTACAGCTTGGACTTTCACCTTTCAGTGCTTGCATTTGTATCAACATTAGGGCTGGTGAGTGTTTGTCCGTTTTCTGCATGATCCATCTATTTGCATTGTTGACCCCTGTTTGCGCACACAGCCGTCTGGCCTGTTCTAACTCATCCAGAATTATTCTCTATACATATTCGGTAGCATCTTCTAGGTGAATTGATAAAGCGTGCATAGCTACCTTAACGTTGATATCTGTGCGTAATTACTGAAGATTTTGGGTAAGTGGATATCTGTGGAGATGTTCTATCCCAACACTGCAGCTCCCATTGATCGAAATAGAATGGGCTTGCTTTCAAACAAACTGTAGCCGCGATCGCGATTGCTTGCCGCAATTCACTAGAACCGTCATGGTTCTAGTGGTTGGCATCACGCTACAATCTTAATGTCGGTAACGTAGTTAAGCCAAGTTTTCCCAGTAATGTCCGTAGTGCTTTGATTCAACAATTTAGCTTGCTGAACATCACGCCAGTAAGCTTATCGCCTACTAGTAGTCTTCCGGTCCTGTTGTAAAATAAAACATTGGGGCTGAAATTTTTGAAACTTCCTGTGATATATTTTTCTAGGTAGAAAATCCTCACACCCAGACTCAGTCAGACAGCCATTACACGACCGGAATTCGTCGGCATCCCACATTCCATTTGACGGCTGTGGGGCTGGAACCTGAATCTCGACTGTTGCGGCGTTAATCACGTCTAGTAATGGTCAAGATTGTTATTACCGTCTCCGGTGGCTCTTAAGCAGACAAAATCGGCATGGAGATTGTCATATTTGTTAATTTGAGTGGAAGTTTGACTATATATTTTAGCGTATTTCAACTAGCTCTTTCAAGTCATTTAGACTGCATAAATGTGCGCTTGAATCCCGGAGTGAGTGCATTGTTTTTACGTCGTCCTCGTTTGTGCACAGGGTGACAAGTGCCCCAAGCGCACTCTCATGTGTGATGACTGCGTGGCTGATTCTGGGTTGGAAAAATCTACCTTATAATCTTCAACTTTCCCATACACCCTTAACATCGACGATAGCCCTGAGAGTGCGTTACGCCACATGAGAGTTGATGGATGATTGTTTGAGTTTTCAAACCAGAGGGCCAGGGTGCTCTCGCATGAAAGCTGCAGCTTACCTCTCCGTATTTCATCCACACAAAGTGTCACCGCCACCCATGACCTGTCATCATTTATCACGGCCAATGACCTTAATCACAATGACTTAAAGGGAAATATGGTTATCGGTACCCCTTCCATTGTGACAAAGAGCATTCCATTAATTTTCGCTGTGAGTGGTGACTGTACGATTGCAGGTAAGAGCAGGTATTATACTGCAGATTTGCTGAGATCTACTAATTCACTAGGCCTAACTTTCAACTAATCGATTAAACCCGGATGGAGCAATACTAGACGCGTGTCATAAAATGAGACAAATAAATTGTGCAACACTACTACTAAACATATACTCCGAAATAAATTTGTCTAAGCCAACGAGCAACTCGTTCCTTGTATTTGTGAAATTATTTCCTAATGAGTTTGGTCATTAATGGGCCTTTCAGTTTGGATCTCTTAAGTCGTATCTTACGGGCAAAGTAACATATGATAAGAATATTTTTGTGCCTTTACTGTTAAAATCCTCTTCTGTTTGTAGAAGCCTGAAAATTACCTGATGTGTCAACAGCTGCATCAAGACAGGTTAGTATCAGAGTTTAACTGTGTTTCGCATATATTTGGATATGCATGCTCTGTTGTCGAAATGTCTAACCCTCTGTAGGCAATATATGAAAGTTAGCCTTGATATTGGGTACTTTAAAGTCATGTTCTTTTTAATGGGTGTTTGGGAATCTGCCCTAGTGTGGTGTAGTGTTATCTCGGAGATTTCTATACTATGACAAGGGAAATAAAAGGGTGCCAATAATTTACACCGCATCTGTGATTATCACTGGACAGTAGTCATATGGTTATTGCTAATCATACTGGTTATTTTCGATGACAAAGAACTCATAAAGAGTAAGTTAGTGTAACATGTGTGCTCCATTGCTTGTAGACTCCAGCCATCTAGTCAGACGAAGCAATCATTTCTGCATAATCGTGAGTCCCATTTGTGGGAAGCAGTGCGCAAATTTGCAGCTTGGTAGACACAATGGAGCATGTAATTTACGGACGATGTATAGAAAAACGCCTGAAGGGTGCACATGTTCTGTTTCGCCCCAATTTGTGTCCTTGTTTCCCCGAACTACTAAAGCGAGGTCACCAAAGTGGGCACCATGGATGGAGGAGGCAAAATCACGTTAGATACAAAGACCCCAAAAAATTCCGCTTAAATTTCGAGGGAGATCATTTCGTAGGCAGTTTATTTTAGTGCTTCTTATTCAGACAATTGCAATCATATATAGGGGCAAAATAAGAGAAATCGAAACAGTTAGACCAAGTTACATCGACAAAAATGTGAACTGCATTTTAATTGATTAGTTGAGTATTACTAAGTTTGACCTAAGCCAGTTGACCTGTGTGTCCTCTGTTTTCGCTGGTCAGGAAAGCTGAACTATCTAAAGCAGCTACTGAAATGTTAGGGCAGATCTATCTTCTTATCTTAACAGTACCGCTGCGCATTTTCCAACTTCATATAAGGTGACAAAAACCGTTTCTGATATGGCTTAGCATATCCGTAACTCGGGATGTGAATGTGAGTTCTGCACTGCTCTCCGGGCTGGATGATTATTTTGCAGAACTTTCGCTGCCAGACTAAGCAGCATCGTTAGTGCGGATTTAAGGTTCAGTTTCGCAGAGCCTCCTAAGCGACTTCGAAGCCGCTTACAAACAGCGAGTGCACGGCAAAGGCTGGGATCAATGGGTGAAGCTCAAAATACAAACTAGACACAACTATTAAGCAAGTCGAACGTTTTCGCATTCGTCTAAGATCCAGACGTAGGCTAATAAAATGGGTTTAAAGAGTGTACTTTTTACTGGTTCCATCTACCCCTCACTAAAATTAGACCCGAACTTAACACAACTTCCTGTGTAAAGTTGGTCGAAGATCTTGACGGTTCTTTAGCCACAAGAGATAGGAGTGGGAAAGAATTGGGCAGCGGCGGTTTACTGCAATATTAATACCACTAGAACCATAAATGTTGGCCAAGTAGGAAAAATGGCCATGTATTAATATGCCCACAGTTTGAATTTGTGTCCAGCGTACCATTTTGCGAGGCTGGAAAGCAGTTGCCACATTGTATTTATCGTCGGGATGCAAGTGGATGAATTACGCTCTGATCTGTGCAGAGATAATTCGCCGACCGCATACTGTTGTTGACAGTACTTAACGGAAATTAAATATATATGGTTGGCGGCATCCATTTTGGGATTTGCCTGTCACCGTGGCCAGCCACAGGACGCCTGCGCCTACAGAGGGACCATGGATGGCTTGCGATGCACCACCCATAGCTCCATCCACACACCCCATATCCAGTGTAAACCCGAAGGAATAAGACCGGGAGGCATGTGGATGGGAACCACGTTTCATCAACGGAGCCGGCCCACACTCCTTCACTAGCAAACACAAGCACGCTGTATTTGGGGAATCAAGCGCACACAAGACGGTGGCTGGACCGTAGTCCGCTCCACACTGAGTGCATGGAACCGCTCTTTGAGCCTAGCACGGCCACAAGAACCGTGCACCCCGTCCCCTCCAGCAACGACCAACTGTCTCCTGGAGCGAGTATGGACAAGGTAGTGGCTAACAGACAGGTAGGCACCTTGTCAACATGCACATCAAGCGCAGCCACACCGGGGAGATCAAACAACAGCCAATCACTTGAAACGACAAGATGAAATAAAATAAATCCAATTAAGCATACAGGTACAGTGGCATAACTCTTCGCTAAAGTAGCATATAAAGTAAGTTGGTTAGCAAGGAATCCGCGATAAGTAAAATATGTCCACAAGTTACTTAAGAATGCTACACACGCAACAAAGTTGCAGAAGATAAGCGCAACTAGCGTAAGCAACGTGGACAGTTAATAGATTATTCAGGTATGCAGATCAAAGCAAATAAAATGTAATGAAAGCTATCTAACTTAAAAAGACCTAGTTTAAGTGTAAGTTGGTTTAGCCCAACTGCGGTTGAAAAGCATCAAGAATGCAATGTTAGCCTCAGCATGGTATATATATATATATATATATATATATATATATATATATATTTCGGCATTGAGAGACATGCCCTTTTCCCATTGATCAATATTTTTCACTTGATCCTTTTAATATCCATAACACAGTCCAATATTCAGCGGGAATAGAAAGCCTATTTTCTACACGAACGTTTATCTAGTTCAAAACTCGGAATGGATAGAAGATAATACTCAACGTCCTGACGATGAGCTCCGTTTACGGATGGAACAAAGTTTCCTCTTCCTTTCCTAAGAGAATAAGAGCAATTTTTTGAGGGAAAGAGGAGCATTAAAACTGAAATCCAAAATTATACATCACAGCATATAATTTTGACTAAAAGTGGTGGTGACAGAAGCATTTAATACTTTTCAGCTCAGCAGCTGTACATGTGGGTCAAAGTAAATAAAAGATATTTTGTTGTGTGTGAGGCGGACTTGATTGGCATTTGTCAACTGACTTAGGCGTTGTGGCTTAACTATACGCTAGGCGTAAGCGAACTGGAGGAACATTGAAAGAGAACTAGCGCAAATAGGGATGACGACGTTGGAAGCAATGTCAGTTAGCTTCACTTTGCTGCCTGACAAGTTTACATGAGGGCAACCAGGAAAGTATAACTGAATAATAGAACGCATGGTAAAGGCGAATAAAGATGGACAGCTTCAGTCAGTATTTCCTTCACAACTCACACTTTGGTATGGCTGTAAAGTAGGCGTGGCTGAGTAAGCAGAATACGAAGAGTGGAGACACAAATGGTCATCTCAATCTCGGTTTACATTTGAACTGTAGTCAATATTAGTGTGTTTGTGAGGCTTGCTCACACTAGTAAATGAGAAAACAGGGTCGGGTGAAGAGAAGTGCAGAGAGTTCTGTCAACTTTCATCTTCATTCCAATGCACCCCTTTGGGAGGGTTTAGTCAAGTAAATACACTGCACGTAACACCTTTTATGTATATTTGTAATAAGCTCACCTAAATTTCGGTCGCCAACGCAAATAGCATTTTTTCATTATTTACTCGCAACCTCATTTTTATGGTTTGCACTGTCCGGTAGTTTGGAACTGTTCTTTTAAACAGCGGTTATGAGTCGCATGCACTTATTTCAGTAAAGAGGCTGCTCCAGATCAGTGAATTACTTTAGGTGGAATTTTCTTCCAACTTATGAGCAGATTGGTACTCGGAGTAACATGTTTATCCACCAAGATAGTGAGACTTATGGTTCCTTGCTGATCCGCACCAGTCTATGTCTAAAACGCTGTGTGCAGTAAATTAATATCTGATTTATTGATTGCAAGGTCCTTTTACAAGTAACATTGCGTTATTGAATTGTAATACTCAATCACAATGTAGACCGTGATTCACATTGAAGCGATACTCGGTCACTTCCATCTCTAAGGCCGTAGCTTATAAAGCAGAAGGAAAGTGGGCGATTGGTTTAGTGGAAACTGTACTGGTTGTATCCAGCACTATTGAGCGCCTGTGGGAAAAAAGATCAAGATACCTGACGCAATAGGTTTTCATTGCAACGTAGGTTTCTCGTTGAATTACCCCGAGTATTAAATATGTAAGTGGGTCATAATGGTGCGGCTGTTTCCATACTCTCCTATCCGATCATCGACCTTAACGATTTAGACAACCTTGTAGCGGAGAGAGAAACCATCCTGACTTTCTGTGTCCTTGGACTCGACTTTTTCTGGGAAATATTTAAGTCAGGAAGGATTTTTGTTTTCCTCTTTATACTACTGCGTGTAGATAATTGTACGCCTAAGACGCTGTCGGCCATAGCTGGCATAGATTTCCAGAGAACGGTTGTGGTCGTATCACCTTGACCGATTTCTACGGAGCAAAACCCGGTGGGGCTTGATAAGCACGTCAAAACAAATGGAATTGTGCTTACGGTGAAAATTTGAGCACTCTAGCGGAAGTCACAAAATCAATTGAAGACCAGTGAGGGCAAAGCGAGTGAGAACTAATTACGACGGATTGGCTGATGTGATGAGCCCCACGCAAACGATCAGGGGACAAGAGATCGTGGTCAAGCTAACCAGCAGACGGCATTAGCAATGATGAAGGGGGACTGAGAATTTTATGGTGGTAGGCCGGCTTCATATTTGTGTAAGTAAATGAACCGTAAAGTATTTGTTTAGCACATTAGGACAACGGTCTGGTTCAAGGCAGTGATGCGACTGAACAAGCGCGCTCATTAAGCAATTTTTTTCAACAAACATGCAAAAATATTAGAAACGTGATCTGTATAGGACATACATAGACAGCGAGTCAGAAGCTTTCGAACACGAACCCACATATGCCAGCTGAATTGTCGAAAGTAGACGAGCTCGAAAACTTCATTTTTGCTATACTATTCCAGTACTGCACAAACACGTCAGTATGCTGCTAAATTTCGAGATAATTCACTGTCAACTCCTTACGGACTAACATACCCGCATTCAGTTCGTTCCCTGGAACATACTCCTTCTCAACCTCAGATACTTTTGCCAATGACGCACATGGAGTGGTGTTATCTATCAGTAC